TTGAACTTGCGGTACAGACTTGTAGGGTAAGTGTACGCCAGCACGGCCACCGCGTACTGCCACCGCAGCACCTGCGGGTGGTTGGAGTTCCGCCACTTCTCATTTGCTTTTCTCCAGGTTTCTGCATAGGTGTGGGTTTTCGAACTCAGTGCGGTTCACCAATTTAAGCTTCTTTTCCATCTTGCGTCTGCAGCCCAGGTACCGGTCATCGAAGGAGTTCTGGGGCCATGTCCATCGCCTCCTCCCTGATGGGGCTGAGGTCTTGCTCACGGGTGCTGCTGGCGGCCAAGGTGCCAGCCAAGGTGCCGGCCAGCAGCACCCAGCCCAGGCCGAGGTGCTCCATGTGCAGGAAGCTCCGGGGGTCCAGCCACGAGCGGGGATGCCCCAGGCAGCGCAGGACCCGGTCCTCTGCAACCGGCTGAGCTCAGCCGCTGAGTGCAGCAGTACAGGGCACGGGCGTCTGCTAGGGGGAGAGCGCAGGGTCGGAGAAGGCTGCAGGGAGAAGCCGAGCAGATGCATCAGGGGCACCTCCAAAGCTGCCCATGGCCCCCCTGGCACCAGAGGGAAGCACCCGCAGTGTGTGTCCCAGCCACGGCCACCGGGTCCTTCCCCACCCCGATACCGGCCCGGACTCCAGCCCAACTACTTGCATCAAACACCGCAGACACCTGGTTCCCCCGTGCAGCCCCGACATCCTCTGAGGCCGCAGCATTTGTGCCAGGAGGAGCCCTGGTGCTGCAGTGAGATGTTACCTCTGCTCTGTTGCATGCAGGACCCACGGCTCGGCGCTGCTGCAGGGTGCGTGGAGCTGGCTGCTCTGCCTTTTTATAGCAACCCCCAGACAGTTTGTGTTCCAGCCCCCATGACCACCCAGTTGCTGCTGGGCTGCTGCAAAAGGCTGCAGGGAACCAACAGGAAATACGCCTTTTATCAGTTGCCCATGCTCTAGGGCCGTGTGTGGGGTCCCAGTCCCTTGGGTGCTGAGAGGTGAGGCGCAGGCTCTGCAGCCCTCAGTGCAGAGGGGCTCCTGCAGGAGCGGACACTGCTTGTCCTGGTTTTGTCTGGGATCGAGTTGCTTTTCATCACCGTAGCTGGTGTGGGGCGTGGGGCTTTGGTTTTAGGATGAGAATGGTGCTGATAACACACTGCTGGCTTAGATGCTGCTGAGCAGTGCTGACACTAAGCCAAGGACTTCTGCGCTGCTCACACTGTGGTGGGGTTGGCTGAGGGGCTGCCGTTGCTCAGGGACAGGCTGGGCATGGGTCAGAGGGTGGTGAGCAACTGTTCTGTGCATCCCTTTCTTCAGTTTTCTTGCTTCTCATTTTCTGTCTTTCTTTCTCATTAAACTCTCTTTCTCTCAGCCTGCCAGTCTGTGCACTTTTCCTCTTGTCAGCTCTCCCCTTCCCCCGGTGGGGAGGTGGCTGAGGAGGTGGCTGTGCGGTGCTGAGCTCTCTGCTGCATTCCACCACAGCGCTGCTTTTAGCACCTAGTGTGAGGCCGGAAGGTACCTGAGATACTGTGAGAGATCAGCAGACCTGAGCAGACAATGCTCGATGGGACAAACTGGTTTAGAATTTGTGCTCATGGTGCGTTTGTTTAGCAGCCCCCGGTTGCAATGCCGATTTATTTGCTCTCCAGGTTGCTTTGTGTAAGCCTCTCCTGCTGCGTATGCTCCCCGTGCTGCCATCAGCACCTCCGAGGGCTGCTTGAAGGCTGCTGGGGGCAGCTGGCTGTGCTTTACCCAGCCTGGTGTGCGTGGGGTGTGCGGGTGCATTAACCAGCAAACTTTGGCTGCACCAACCAGCCAGTACATGGGCCAAGTGCATGGGCCAAGCCCCAGCATGTTGCAGTGATTTGTGTCTCTTTGGAATTGCCAGGGTGATGACACACCTTTTTGAAGCATTCTGCCTGGTTTTTAGGATTCTGCAGTTTTTCAGGGGTGAATGTCCAAGCACTGGAGGTGCCCACTGCTCTAGATGCCTGGTAAAGGACAAGGACCGCTCTCTCACTCCCCCTCCTTAGATCAGGAGGGGAAGAAGTAAAGCAAAGAACAACACACGGGTTGAGATAAGGATAATTTAATTAAGGGAATAATAATATAATAATTAAAGATTATTAAGAACTAAACAATTTAACTAAAGGAAAAAAAAAAGGAAAGGGGAAAAGGGAAGGGGAAAGAAAAAAAAAGGAGGAAAACAAAGAAATAAAACAAATGAAGGCTATGTGGAAGTGCAGAGGAAAGAAATTACTCTCTACTTCCCACAAATGAGCGATGATTAATGATCCTTGAAGCAGGGCCTCAACGCACGGAGCTGTTCGGGAGGAGGACCGATATTTTCCCAACGAGCCCACCCTCTTCTTCCTGTTCCCATCTTTTATTGCTGAGTGTGACACCACATGGTATGGAACATCCCTTTTTTGGTTTAGGTCAGCTGCCCTGGGGATGTTTCTCTTCTCACTTTTGCCCACCCCCTAGGAGGGTCAGAGAGAGTCCTGGTACTGTGCCAGCACTGCTCAGCAGCAGACACAACCCTGCTGTGATCCCACTGCTGTTCCAGCTCCAAGTGCAGAGCACAGCACTGCTTGGGCTGCTGCAGGGGAAGTTAACATCCCAGCCAGACCCAGTACATCCTCCACCCCTTATTCATAACATTTGTGTCACACTCAGATCCCCCATACTTTAGCATACAAGTATTCTCATCATTATTCCTTGTCCTTTATCAGGACAAGGATTTAACAGGGAAGGATTAATAGGCAGGTGTATCTTTTCATTCCATAGGTCTTTCTTGGAAAATGTTCATAAGAAACTGTGATGATCTGCCAAAGT